AAATGGTTGTAAATTCTTACATATTTGGTATCAGTGAAAGACGTTCTAATATTAAGAAGCTGCTGATCTCAGTGATACTCGTCCCGAAACATAGCCCGGTCAGACCTGGCAACCCGGTAAGAGTATGTGGCGCAGCAAAAATATGTATAATATCATACCCGAACAACAACACCGACCAAGGCCGGCGGCACAACGCCGGGAGCAACAGTTGCGGCCGGTAGGTACTCGATCCGTCTGCTGAGAATATTTTTCTGTTTCAAGGGCTGTGTATGTCTAATAGGTGCGTCGAATTACCAAAGTTGGCAGCCAGTAGGCATGGGAAGAAAAAGCATAAAACACCGTTTTACATTGTTGGTTATGGCGACAGAGACGGGAAGCAAACATATCCAATTCAGTTTTCGTTCTCGTAAGACTTTCTACAATCCCCATGTCAGTAATATTGCTGCCGGGTGTGGATAATAATACATTCCCTCGCTTTAGGGCTGCTATTGTAACGAGAGCTCAACCCAAATAGCATAGCCTACTTTAATCCATTACCCTACATTCCAAATAGAATAAAATTCTCAACTAACCACTGTTGAACATATTTTCTCTTTTTCTGACCCGTTTGTATATAAGCGAATCGTGTATTTTAATGTCAGTGGACAGTATGCGGATAAAAAATCATCCATTATTAGAGTCAATATACAGCATGTTCCAGCAAAACGTGGCAATATTTTTAGGGCTGATATACAGGGTGTTCGAATTATAAATTTGAATCGAAAAGTAATATCTTTGGAGAAGGTAAAAATTTTCGTGCTTTAGTCTATACCAGAGGCGTAGAAACTGCAAAAAATTGACCCCTGCCAAAGATAAAAAACTATTTTCTATGCCAATAACTTTTTTGAAACGTGTCTTGCATTTTTTAATAATGAATTGTCTTTTGGAGAAAAATTGACCTGAACTTTTAAAGCAAAATCCCGCATCTTTTATGAATTGATGACAGCATTGCATAGGAAGTACAGGGTCAATCTACTTGACGCCATTTTTTACGTAGAACACAGAAAATGATAGATGCAAAAATGCCAAAGACGTGAAAGCGTCAGTTGTCTTTCATTAAAGAGCACTAAGTAAAGTTAATTCAAGAATACATGTTTATGTTTTGTCAGATAGGCTATTATATAATGAAACTAAAGACAACCTGTTAGTTTAGGTTGTATCAACAAACGAGTTTATGGCAGATTCAGGATTACCTTAAAACAAATTAAATACAGGACAATTCCTTTTTTTATGAGCGTACCGTATTATACACTTTATGGCCACATCTAATATTATATTTTCATAGTTTCAGTTTATTTTTAATAATGTGATCATTGCGCGACATCCCATGAATGTTTTAATTGATGTGAAGGTTATTTCCACATTACCCATTTTAGCTAAATATGCTAATAAGTTTATAGATTATATATGTATAATGTGATATCAAAATAATGACTAACACTCAAAACATAATAAATTTTACGTTGTGAATCTTTCCAATATGAAATGTTGATTGCCTTTATTAATAATTTTGCAAAATTTAGAATCATACTTTAGAAAAGACGAAACTTAATATAAAAAAATCGGTTTCATTAACTGTTGTTTTAAAAGAAATATGTTCTTAGTTGCTTTTATTTCCTTAATCTACAAGGCTCATCGCAAATTATTCATTCATTGAAAATTCGAAATTATAAATCTTAAAATCCAAACTATTGCAGTCATGTGTTAACCACAAAATTGCAGGAAAAAATGTGGACGTTATCATGCGAAAAAGTAAATATAAATATAATGGCTGACAAAGTTAGAGTAGGTACATTAGTAATGTAGTAAGATTAATTTAGTGCATTTCTGTTTTTATCGTGATATGGATTTGCTATTAAAAGGGAAATTATTTTCAGTTGAATTCCACACGTTTATTGATTGGAGGCGTTTATTTTCATTTTGTTTTGTTCAAACAATGGCAGTTTCAAAGAATCAAAAGTAACTGCTCTGCGCAAATTATTGTGTATTTATAATTTAAGAGAAAAAATTAATGGTGTACGATAAAAGATTATATGCTAAAGTTTCATTGAACTAAGTCACTGAAGTATAATGATGATCTTCCAATTGTAAAGAAACCATACTTAGAAGTCCAAGTTCTGTTCCTGAACTTGACATAGTATTTACAAGAGGACAAAAGCTACAAAGGCAAATGGAAAAGACAGTAGGCAATACATCAACAGTATAACATAAAAAAGTGGATACTGCCATCATCCATGCAACCAACCATTTATGGTGCTGTTTTGTCAGATACCCAGGTATGTAATGAATGGCCACTGCCAATGAAATCAAATAGATTAGAAGTAGCCAAGCCTATATGTTTACATTGCATTGTTTGTCACCAAAATTGCATAGATTTAGGGCATCCTTCTGGCTCATTTGTCTACCAAAGCCTACCAAAGTGACTGCATTGTATCAACACAATAATGATACTTACTGCTGGAAACATCTACCTTCATTAGGCTTGTGTGGCTTTACAAATTATGTTAAGTACCATGTACCATGTCTCAAATCATCTACGACCACAACCATCTGCAAACACTATCACTTTTATAAAACAACACTAAAAATATGAATTAAATGAAGCTGTCAAAAAAACATGTCAAGTGCACTTCGATCCTCACACAAATCCTTGCTGGCTCCTGCTATCTATTCTGAATGTGTTGGCCACTACAAACAGTTTTTCATACTTAAATGGACAAAGTAAAATGACACGTAGTATGGACTGAGACCTTTTCGTATCTGAAAATAAACATTATATTTGCAGACATGAAAAGGTCTCAGTCCATACTGCCCATCATTTCACTATGTCCTTTTCAGAATAGAACACCCTGTATAGGACTGCATTGTCTGGTTGCTAAATAAAACCGCATATGTTTTAATAATTGTTTACTGTATGATAGGCAATAATTGAAAATTCAAAATATATATTATGTGGTTTGATTTAGCAGCCAGATAATGAAAAGTCATATCAGCATAAAGACCACAGGATCAGTTTCAGGTGTTGCATTAATGTAAGTTGTCAGACTATAGTGGCAACATTTCATTACAATTTACTGGACAAGTATCTTTAGAGTTAGAATGATGTCAAGGACTACCAGAAAGACAACCAAGGGATGGATGCATTATGCAAAATGGATATACTCATTTAAAATGAGAAGTAAGCATAATGACTTCCTTATGTAGAAGATATGTCAATATATAAAATACCCTGCCGCCATATCTAGGTAAGTAGGTCAGTGAAGGGGAAAACTAGAGAGCAGCTCTACTGCCTAAAATCAATAATGCACTTGCCCCTGAAAATATGCCTGCACAAAAAGATGTATTTGAATATGCAAGCTAGGCAACTAAATTTGGTACCCATCATTATTTGAGAAACTAAAGGGTTTAATTTGGATGAACAATACACAATTTTAGATTATACTCTGATTTTGTATGATAAATAAAATATGATCATGTGAAATGAATATATGCACAACAGGCTATCTAATAATCTGTAAGGCTCCCTTGAGTCTGTGAATTCTCCACTAAGTAACTTTACACATGATACCTTAAATTTCAAACAGCTCAGATTGGAACATTATTTAATGTCTTATTTTCAATCTAAAATGTGATAATTTCTCAATTCAATGTAAACTTTCTTCTTTGTTGAATTTGCAGTTAAATTGTGTTATTAGAGTCTATATGTTGGACCATATTATATGGATTGATTAATAGAACTAAGCAAGTGACCTTAAGCAATATTTCTCATCATTATAGGTAATACCAAGTCATGAAAGATCAAGCAACTAATAGCATCTTGTAATGTTTGAAGAATTTTTGTTATTCTACGATTTTAAGTAGGTTTTATTTGACAAGATGCATATTCGATAAAGTTGAATGCTTAATAATGAAAAGTGAAAATTGGTCCATAGATGGAATGGAGTAACAAATCATCTGGAACTAAAAAAACATCTGGAAATAACAAATCTAAAATGTTTGTTGAAAAAATACAAAGACTGAGAATGAGAAATACATGTAAATAAAAGTCTAAAATTATCTGGCAACATCATTGATGTTACATGTTGAAAAAATAACACAAAAATATGGACATTACAATAATGTATCTACTTTACACAGAGTGGATGATAATGTACAGGATTTTTCAAGAAACAGGATATTTGAAGAACAATTTACTGAAATTGTTTGTCTTTAGGAATTTTATACTTAAAAGTTAATTCATCTGAAAGGGTTGGGATGAGGCGTGAATGTATTTAACACTTACAAGTTTAATAGACAAAACTTGTTAAAACAAAAAACTGAGCATATAACATTTTTACATAATATATAAAACCCAGACCTAACAGAAAGTAGGAACTTCAAGAGATGACTCAGCTGGTGACTCAAAAATTCACATGATGACAAACAAAATATTTTAAAAGGTACAGGTACTTCTAAAAAACTGAAGCTTAAGAGTTATTGTTAGAAATCAGAAATGCCATTTTTGGATTCAATTGGTTTCTAATGTGATTTCCCGTATTTCTAAATATCTAATATTCACAACTTCTATAGAAATATTAAAGCAACACTCTCCAAACACCTGTATTGTCTATAGTTATCCATGCAATATTATTGTTATAAAATGAATAATAATTACATATATTCTTCTAGAGATTAGTACCAAAATTAACTGTACTATAAAACCGCCAAATTCCACACGTCAAACGTCAAATTCACGAAACGTCTACATTTCTTCAACTTTCTCGATCCAATTTCACTTTTTCCCAAACCAAAAAACACCTAAACTACAGACATACTGCACTACTGCCCGAACGTGCCCCATGTTTATCTGTCAAATTAAAAAATCAATATTGCACTTGCCCCTGAAACAGCGATTTGTGCGAAACGGAGCCCGTTGATTACGTTAGAAGGTAATTAACGTTAGAATGTAGATCGTTACTTACCATCAGCGTCTACTTCATTGATCATATCCTGCAATTCAGCCTCGGTAGGGTTCTGACCTAGAGATCTCATAACAGTGCCTAATTCTTTGGTGGTGATTGTGCCATCTCCGTCTTTATCGAACAACGAGAATGCTTCTTTGAATTCGGCAATTTGTTCCTCCGTCAGTTGGTCGGCCTGCAAACAATTCAGTACAGGACACCGAACCAGCTACATACTTTATTACGTGAAAAAAGTAAACACCCAACGTATGCAACAGATCAATACGCACTAAAAGGCACTAATTTCGAAAAAGCGTGCACAAAACCCCTGGAAAACCGTACGGATTTTTTTGAGTTACATCAATGTACCGCAGTGCGGCAGAATATTCACCGGTTAGTCATCCCAAACTGTCATTCTTATTTACTATTTACAGAGTCATCTTCGAAGATTTTCGGAAAATACCTACTCTAAACGGTGCTGGAAACGTTCCTAAGTATGATGGGGTGTAGGATGACGATGAAAAGTCACTTACCATTGTGATATTTGAAGATTAAGCGGTACACTATTCACCAAGATCAGTGGACACGACGAAATCCCACAGAACGTTTCGCGTCAAAGTGCACCAGCCAACTGTCTTCTCGTTTTGTTTAGGAACTAGAGGGAAGGAGTGGGGGAAGAGTGCTGCTGCGAAACCATCACCGCCAAAGCGCAATAGTGCGGCTAACGACATAAACCAGTAAATATTCCTACGCTACATTAACCTACAAAATGGCACGTTTTATCAGCTTTTTCTTTAGCTTTTACACTTCCCCGCAAGCTTTTCTGAAAAACAATTTGAAATCTCTGGAAAAGAAGACGAATTCGTCGAAAAATTTGAATAAAATGATTGGATCTATTTTGCGTAGCGCAGTAACAATGTCGGGTGCGGCTTTCAGCGTTGCCACGTCAATCGTTTCGTTAGGATTGATGAGATGTTGGATAGGGGTACGAAAATCACTGGATGGACAATGTGGTTATTGCTACGATTGTATATGAGTACACTAATTTGACGTCGAATTCAGAACTTACGCAGCCGATCTGCTCAGGAGACGAGCTTACAGCAAGATTACAGATACATAAGGGTTTATAAAAATATATAGGAAATCTTAAAACATTATAGGACTAATTATAGGATACATTTATCGTGATTGTCTCCTGTTGATACAAGCGGATAAAACTTAGTACACTTGTATTCTAATATAAACACTGGACCGCGCTTAATTTCCCTGAAGAAAATTGTAAACTGCGCAAACCGATCCTGAACAAAGTTAATACCGTATTACGTAACTTGAAAATTGCCATCATATACATGTAGATTTTTATGACATCATGTAGGCTTATTTTGATATTATGTAGGTTTGCCTTTTAAACGCTACCTTAGAACTAGGTACAATGAACTAGTGGCACAAGTTGACATTTTATCAATTTTTGACACTTTCATTTACTAAAAATACTCCAATTAATTTAACGAATGATTAACATATTCTACCTAAAGAAAATCGACTATATACTGTATTCCGGCGTTCCTAAAAAGGAAATTGAAAGATATTAGCAAACAGGAAAACACTACTTTTAAGTACGAGATTTTTTAACTAATTTTTGTGTTCTGATACATTCTTATAGATGGCGCTAGTAACCATTAGATCCCTTTTAAGTCGCCGGAATACAGTATGTGGTTTGCTATCTTTAGATAGAATTCATGCGTTGACGAGAAAATTTTCAAGGCGGTTAGAAAAAACTAAAAAACGTATCTCTGTGCGCATAGAGGCCGATTGTATTATATAGTTTTACTGTGACTCGTCAATCAGCGGTGAAAAGAATTATACTCGTAGTTATTTATAGAGCTTTATTTGACAAAATTTCCATTTTCATCTGACCTTGTATAAAAAGTTGATATGGGGTCCTGAATTTGAAAATAACCGTCAAAAATCGTAATGCGTAATGTTTCTGCGAGTGCCATCGTCACATTTATATCATATTCAAAACCTACACATTCGATCTACCTAGCGGGCATCCATGATTGAGTTAGAATAATAATATTCTTAACCAGTTTTATAAAAAGTATTTTGTTTAAATAAGACCAATGCATTTACACAAAAATATAAATTTTAGAAAATCTCTCGTGAGATTAGAGATGGCAGAGCCTAGTTTTACGGGAGTTCCCACCATTGGACGAGGATGGTCAGAAAATCGTCAAAACGCCTTACGTAATTCCGTGGCAAATAGCCAAACGAGCATAAGTAAATTTTTTCGACTTATGACATTTTTACTTATTTGTTGGGAGGGCGGCTATTAGAACAATTAATTAAAATTGCATACGTACATAATATAGAGGGAAGGCTATTGAAATCACAATCAAAATTAAGGCAAGTATCTAATTCGTCTAGTTTCCTTGGAAAAAAGTTTTAAGTTGAATTCATATAAGTAAAAAAAGACTGATACTCTTTCGACTATTTGCTACAGAATTAATAGTCTAGGAACCAGTTTTTATCTAGATCATACATACACACAAATATTGTTGAAACTCTTTTATAAAATCTCGAATAACTAAGAAACTTGCATTTCCTTATATTGTTGTTACATGCAAGGGAAACTTGTGAAACACGTGGATAATTTGGGGTGCCGAATTCGAAAATGGCATTCAGTGACACAAAAAACGGATTGGTTTGTACCTTTTATAGCTACAAGCGTCAAATTTACATCGTATTTGGAATCTACGCACCCGACTTACCATAAAAACAAATTTTTGTCCAAATATGCACAGGTTTGTGAAAATTTTCCGGCGTGAATTCTCAAACTCCTCTACAGGTCAACATTTCCAGTGTTAAAGGCGAAAGTAACTCGATATTCAGATTTGCAGTGGTTCTAGAATTTATTTTATTAGGAACCTCAAATGTGGATGATTTAATATGTTTAGGACGCCAGAGAAAGTCGTATCCTTACCCACTTTCCTAGATGAACTGTGTCAATGAGGATATCTTTGCCTTTGTATCTACAAAATTTTCATTCTACTGCCTCTATAACGCTATGATAGGCGCACAATTTCACCCGTCGTATTAAAAGGATCAGGAAATCGGTTTCTAGAGAAATTTGTCGGATAGCTGCAGAAAAACGTTTGCGAAGACCTGGCAATGTCGGCGCGTTGTGTACAACGTACACTGATGGCACGGCGTGCTGCTATTGGTCGGCGTCTACCTGCAATGCGTCAAACGGTGTTCCCGCGCTTGTTTGAGTGCGTCTACTAGAATGGGTGAGGCGGACAGTCGCAATTTTGACGCAAATTTCGTGGTTTTTCTTTTGATGCTGTTGCTGGCTCATAGCCGCAGAGCAGTAGAACGAACCTCCAGATCGGACCAGCTCGTTCCGGCTATCCGGCGACGTCTTCCGGCAGCCACAGGGTCGGACCTATTGATTTCTGGTAATTATGGTCAGAGAGTGCCACTCCCACTTCGCCCTGCTGGGATGAGTATGTGCTAGAAACACACCCCTTTCGGATTCAGTCATAAATCTTTGGTTGCGCACCAATGTGGGTGTAATTCCATAGTTCTGGAGTAGTTTCGTTCAACTGCAATTGCTTAATGAAGTGGAAAAGTTAAAATTAGAATATAACGGGTCTACTCGGCTACAAGGGAGGTACGAATATATGTTGTCTTTTTTTCAGGCGTGTTGTAAAAAGTCAATTATATAGCATTGGCTACAACTCCGGATGCATTATTTAGGCATTATGTAGATTGGGGTTATATAGATACGTCTGACGACGCCGATTGGTCGAATAACCAAATTTGAGGTTGTAAAAAATTTGAAATTCAATCATACTAAACTAATTCGTGAAAATATGATGTAGGTCCCCAAAAGTTAAATAGCTATGGGTATGACCGTTACATAAATGAACCAGGTAGCACAAGCACGTGAAAATGACGTTACGGACTGGTGAAATGATCTCCTAATGTTGGATACCCATGGCGTCATGTAGCAAACGTCAGTAATTCGTTACTTCCTAGACGTAAAGATGACGTCTATTATTTACGATAAATAACTAGTGTTAGCTTATTCTTCTACATTGTAACACTGACTCGGTGCTGCTCGCTTAGCGACGAAGGACGACCTATTACCTATTACCAGTTTACACGGCGTTTGGGTTGAGAACACTACGCTGTTGTCATTTTTACACCCCATGAGCTGTGTAATACTACGGGTAACACACATAGTATTGTATACAACGTGCTAGAGAATTAAAGTCACGTTAGCCTGAAATTGTTTTCGAAATGTCCTATTTTTCTATAGCTTTGGGAATACTCAGTACGTGGAACGTGGAAATTGGAGCAACGACACGCGGATACTTGGTACAAATGACGGGAGCGAGAAGGAATAACGTCGATTACAGCGATCACTCGATACAGCGTTGCCAGATTAGAAGAATACATAACACTTTGAATAGTAGCTAAAATGTGATACGTATTTTTTTGTTCATGTTCTATCTAAATGTTGTGTCCAAGAAAGTCATTTGGCACTCACACCTATTCTTAAAAATCATTAAATATTATATAACGGAACGCCAGAAATATATAAGAGAAATGGAACATTATACGGCAACGTTTGGGAAAACCTTGATAATTTGTCCTACAATTTTAGTCCGCCTTTATGACCTCCTTGACTTTCATAATACTTCCTCTCCTCCAGAAAGGCTGGCTTCTAGATTTCTACTGTTCCGTGTCAGCGTCAGGGCTCTCCCATTGTCAGGATGTTTTCTTCTTGAATTGAAGGGATTTTCAGGCTATATAACAGATGATATGAACAATTTGATGCAAATAGATATTTGTAACATAACCTCAAAATAGAGCGCTTACACGGAAGAGTAGAAAACTATGAAAATCAACGAGGCCATATATAGGCGTCCTACAATTGTAGGAACGACTGACGATACGGCTCTTAGGTTTGATATATGACAAGACTGAAAAGCTATTTATCCTTGAACCGCGCATTCGTTACCAAATTCGACCTCTTAGATAAATATCAAAATCAGAACTCTTAGAACCATTTCAGAACCTGTACGGAATCAGTTCGGAACGTTTGGAACAGAAAACTGTACGGAATCAAATCCATTTTGTGTTGGAACAATATTTATTAATTCGATAGTTTGTTGGAACAAAGGTTGCAATTGAAGAGTGGTGGCTGGGATATGTCAAAGGATTCAGGAGGGGAAGGGGGATTTCACATTTCAAGTCGATCAAGTTAATTTTAGCACCAAGATACAGCAACTTGTACCATTTTATTGGAAAAAATGGACTCTGTATTTCCAATGCAACGAGATCATCACTTCGTAAAGGATTGTCTTAGGAGCAAGTTAGCCTTTCAGAGAAAAATGTTAGGTATGAACATGTATTACAAAAAATTGAATGACTCTCCCTCTGAGAGAAATACCTGCGAGCGCGCATGATCATTGCTATGACTAACCCCGCGTGGATGACAATATTGACTTTTACAGCCTGCATCCCACAACATCACAGAAGCGACTGCCGATTGCGATGCACGACACATGACCATTAAGGGTAAATGTACGGGGACATCTATCGTGAGTTAAAAATGTCTAATAGGTGCGCAGAATTGATGAGGCTGGCTGGAGGCATATAAATGTACCAACGTCAAATAATTGAGATATACCCAACCCCACTCCCTGAGACCCGTAATTTTCAACCCATACAAATTTTTTTCCGAATATGATCAGTAGTCTCTGAAAAGTGAACTTTTATTTTTTCCTTTGTGGCCTTTTTCTTTGCCGTTACTAGACCGATTTTCAAAAACTACAAAGCCTTTTCATCCTCAACAGGCCAAATATTAGCGGACAGATAAGCAGACAGACAGACCGACAAACCATCAGACAGACAGATAGACAGACAGACAGATAGACAGACAGACAGACAGACCGACAGACTGACCGGAGACATGTCATGACGTACAACATGCAAGAAACATAATGTCTCATTTTCGAAGTTTTTCGCGATTGTAGTATTTCCTGGCCAGTAGGCACCTTTTTCGTATCCTATATTTGCATCCGAGAGCTTGCAAGTCTTATCCTCTGGTTCACCCGGTAAGGCTAAAAAGCAAAATACCTCGGATTTGACCTTTTTACGGGGTGAGTTTATACTTCCCCACGTCCCTGTTGGCACGAGAGGTAAAAGGTTTTCCTTGGTAAGTTTTATATCAAAAAGTTTTGTTGGATATGATGAGAGGAGAGACCTATAAATATACTCGTACCAAGAGCAAGGATGAGCGACAAGCTTATTTCCGATTTCCATTGTTTATGCATCATCAGAGCTCGAACCTGTAACTGAAGACGCAATGCGAGTGATTCTGATACAATTTACAGACCACATGATTTGAAAATAAGTTTCTGGAATTTACATAAAGATTAGTTGATACCTGAAAGTATGATTATTCTTCAATATACTTAAAAAGGGGAATTTTTAAATAACCAATTGCGTATCTTCCCCGATAGCATTAAATATTTTAAAAAAATGTTCATTAAATATTTGTTGCGACAGATTTTTTAATATTTAATAAATATATTTCTTATATATTTATAAAATATTCATTATAGCTATTTTAGTTTATATAATTCATATATTTTTGCGATGTTTTTCCAAATATTTAGAAAATATATGAGGAAAGATTTTTAAATATCAATTTCATATTTTGATGAAATATCTAATATTTTTCGTAAATATGTATGGATTTTCAAGCATTAATCTGATACATATTTTCAGTATAGGTATATAGAAAATTCTTCATTCTTTATTTTAGCAAAATCTGTAGGAATGCTCATATAAAATTGGGTTTATAAAGAAAATTTGTTCTAGATATAATGGTTTAATTTGCTAGAAAAATATTATTAAAAAATCATTCTAAGCCTCTTCTGCATCTTGCAAGTCCACTCCTCTGAAAAAAAAAACCAACTTACTAATTATGAAGTATTATTGAATACATAAGCTGCTTTCCACTGTATTTATGGGAATATCAAATGCACTGGAACAATATTGGTGCTGAGCACTGCTGACTTACTCAGAGTAGCTCAACTGGGTCACTGAAAAGCAGCTCTATAAGTCACCTAAAAGGCACCCACATTTCCTTTCTATGAGAGTTCGAGTTTTGGTTAATTTTTAAGAAAATTTGGTATGTTATCTTAAATATCTTGAATGAAAAATGTCCATGGGCACAACTTGATCCTTTGACTAACTTTTGAAGAAAAGATTTTTGAAAATAGAAGACTTATTGATTTTGTTGAAAAGTGACTTTTTTTAATATGGGGGCTAATTTAGCCATAACTATTTTGTGATTTTATATTATAATTCAAGGGACAAAAATATAGTATTTTCGACTATTAAAATTTTGGAACGTCGTTGTTGAACATAAAAATTTCAAAATAGTTACAGCTGATCTGCCCCCTACTACGACACAAATACTAATAATAATAATTGAGATATTTAAAAAAGCATTTTTGATGTATCTCGATCAAGTTGCGATTATATGACTTTTCATTGGGATGTTATGAATATAATTTTCGAATCCATTCTCAAATAAATCCACCAATACCAAATAACTGCTACCACTTCAAATACCTTTATACTCAACTGGCACAATAATGTTTACTAGTCAGATAAATTAAGCTACGTAATTATCGAAGAAATTATCCTTTTCCCTTTTCCACAAAAAAAATACTTAAATAATGTACCATATTAATATTTAATGAATATTTTCTAAATATTGGCGATTTAATATTTTCCATTGATAGAAAAGTAAATATTTGATGAATATTATAAAAGAAATATTGTATATAAAATATTTAGAAGATATTGAATAAATATTTAATAAAAATATTATATTTCAAATATTTATCAAATAGTTGTTCAAGAAAACAAATATTCAAGTAAGATAAAAATATTATTAAATGAATAAATATTTAATGAATATTTCGTGCTATCGGGGGTGCACGCGAATCCTGTTACGTTCAACCTCAGCCACTCTTGGCCAGACTTCCACTACGCCGACTTTACGTTTCTTACGTTTCACATCCGTGGCTGTGTTGGTTGTCTGGTTGTACTACTGTTTTTGTCGTCATGCAACATTATACCCCATTCGTAGTCCATTTGTGCCCAGACAAAACACATGTTGCCCAAAAGCGAGATTGTACAGGTCCGTATTTTCCTCAATGGTCTTGGAATAATCTAACAAAATAAATGATTATTTTTATAGAAAGAAGTGCACATACTTTTCACAATTATTTATTCGCTAGAAGTACTTAAATCATCGTCCGCGTGGTTAATATTAATTATTACAGGTTCAGTTTGAATATCGATCATATTGTCCAGATCTCACATCTTTGTTTCGATTGTCTCTTGAACCTGAAAAAGAAAGGTGTGGGAAACTGGCCCATACCTCAGGAGGGAGACTTGCCCAAAGGGGCAACTCTCCCTTGCTGATGTAATTCTAAATTGGTATTTGTTTTTAATTAATTTTAGTAAAAGTTAATGCATTTTTTTTATTACAGGTCTGTATAATGCCATTTAAGTACAAAACAAAAGACGTTTCCACTCGCAAAAAACTTGATAAGGATGTTCTTAAAAATGCACTAGATGAACTAGCCAAAGGTACTTCGAAAAACTTCTGCAAAATATGATATTGATCGGAGGACTTTGAGGCGCTACAAAAACAATGAAAATAAACTTGAAAAAATAGAAATTAAAGGCCAGTATAATACTTCATAAATATTCACCATACAAGAAGATAAGCTTCTGGTTGAATATTTTTTAAATTGCAGCAAAATACACTATGGACTTACTCGAAAACAAGGAATGAAATTAGCTTTTGAGTTTGCAGTTTCGAAATCCAAAAAAATTTCAGAAAGTTGTTCAAAAAATAGTATGGCAGGGAAGGATTGGTTTCGCGGTTTTTTATCAAGAAATCCCGAAATTAGTTTAAGAACTCCGGAGGCAACAAGCTTGTCACGATCTACACGCTTCAATCGGAAGAATGTAAACGATTTTTTTCAAAACTTAAGGATTGTACGAGAAAAATTTAAGTTTGAACTACAAAATATTTATAACTGTGATGAAGTAGGATGTACTACAGTTCAGGATTGTCCTAAGGTATTGGCCAGTAAAAAAGCTAAGCAGGTTGGTCAAGTTACTTCATCAGAGAGGGGCACTTTGGTGACAGTTTGTTTTGCAGTCAATGCAATTTGTGTTATTCCACCCTTTTTTATATTCCCTCGTATCAAATATCGAGAAGACTTCGTTTGTGATGACCCAGAAGGTTCTAATGGGGATGCTTATTCAACAGGATGGATGACTGCTGGAAGCTTTCTGAAGTTTATGGAGCATTTCAAAAAATATAGCAACGCGTCACCAGAAAATCCTGTTTTGCTCATATTTGATAACCATGAAAGCCACGTGAGCATTGAAATTGTAAAATTTGCTAAGGAAAATGGGATTGCGTTGTTAACGCTGCCTCCGCATTGTAGTAACAAGATGCAGCCATTAGATGTGACTGTCTATTCCCCACTTAAAGTAGGATACAATGCTGCATTAAGTAACTGGATGATAAGTAATCCTGGAAAAACAGTAACAATTTACAATATTCCCACATTTATTAAATCAATAATGTCAGCAACTTTTAGCCAAGCAAATATCCTTAGTGGATTTAGAAAGTGTGGGATTCAACCGTTTAACCCTGACATATTTACTGCCGAAGATTTCTTGTGCTCAGCTGTGACCGACAGAGACAATTCTCACGGCGAAGTCCAACTAGATTTTTCCGGATGTCTGGCAGAAGATTCGTTAGCAATTCCATCTACTTCTGGTGTTACAGCAACAGGAATTAAGCAAACTCCCCCTAATCAAATCGCTGTAAATTTGGAAAATATAAATGAAAACGCACCCAACGAAATTCCCTCAAGTTCTGCTATTACAGAAGCAGAAATCGTGCAAACTACACCTGAAAAGATGGCTGTAAGTACGACAAATATAAGTAAGGACATGCCTACAAATATATTTGATAATACACCCAAAAATACACCATCTAAAGCTACATCCTCTTCTCTCATAACACCTGAGATGATAAGGCCATTTCCAAAAGCTGGTCCCAGAAAGACAACAAGGCGTGGCCGTCAACCAGGAAAAACTAAAATATTAACCCAAAGTCCAGAGAAGGATGAAAACTATGATAATTTCCAACATAAATCACCAATAGAAAAAACTAAACAAAAAATAGATATCTTACGCTGAAAGTTCTGATGATGATCAGTGGGCAGAACCTCCAGATAAAGATGACAACTGGTACTGTTACATTTGTCAAACTGACGATATGCTTGGTATGAGGCTTTATATTATTTGTAAAAGATATGCCCATGAAGTATGCGTCGGGCTAACAAAATCAGATATCGAACTGTTTAAGTGTCATGAGTGTGAATGAAAATTAGGCTAATATCTTTGTTCATATTAGACTTTTTTTACTTTTATTTTTCATTCTTACTTTCATACTTTTTTAAAATTATTTTTATTTGTTTTTTGCATTAAACTTATGTTTATTCTGATTTCAAAGATTTAGATTTAGTTTCGTTCTTGAATAAGTAAAGTTTTTTGTTTTATTTTTTGAGTTTTTCGAATACAAAAGTTATTATTTACATTTGTTTTTATTTAATAAGGGGGGTGGGCAACTCTCCTTCTGACTATGGGCAAGTCTCCCGCATATGTGGGAGAGTTGCCCATGTTATCAAAAAAATAAAAAAAACTATAATTTTTTTCTGACTAATTTTTTTATGGTTTAAATGGTAAAACAAGGTTCCTAAAAATATATGCTGCGAAGTCATCTAACATTTATTGATTTATATAAATAGGAACAAATTTTATCACCAATAATAAATTGGGAGGGGCAAGTCTCCCGGACTTCCTCTACATATGAATTTTAACTCTCGGGACTTCGTGCAGCCAGGCTTTTATTTTTTTTATTACTTTTTTCTGCAAGACACTGGGTTCGTATAATCCTTGGATGTCAATCAGTAAACCCTCCAATTGAGAAGTGCGCTCAGTAATCCGAATTGCTGAAATTGACCAGCAGCCGTTCTGCTTAACAACAACGCTCGGCCTCACGTTGCGGCAAGAACACTGACACAGCTGACAGCTGGACAAGTTTCGTTGAGAATTACTGGATAATCCACCATTCAGCCCTGACTTGGCACCATCAGACTTTCATCTTTTTCTAGAACTTACGGAATTCCTTATGGAAAGCGCTTGTAAAATGATAACACGTTGAAAGAAACCGGCTTAACGGTCAAACGGAAGCATTCTCTGCTGACAGGATCCAGAAACTGATGCCACGACTTAACAAATGTTTATAATGACTACGTAGAAAAATGAAAAAAATGTGATACAATTACATTCATGAATGACGTTTTTCTGACTCCATTACAGAACGGTTACTTTTGAGAGCGGGCAGTGTCAGCGACTGAAAATTAAGAGTGGGGGTGGGGCTATGGATCTGCCACAGACTCTAATGCTAAAACTCGGTACATATTTGTACGTGGCTGTTTTTGTGTCAGGCTTGGCCTTCAATTGAGTTGAGAGGGTTTCTGGTAAAATATGTTAATCAATTCTGAGACTGTCATTTCCCATGGTTAGCCGTGATATTTCGCAAAACAATTCTATAATACTTTCCTTGATATTGGAAGCTTATCGTTTAAAAAACCGCATTCTAGTAAGAGGAAATAAAAATTGTGAAGGGTTTTGCGAAATACGTGTCAGATGCAATTTAGTATAACAATAACCCAGTACCAGCCGCGCCTTGCATGTTCAGCGTCTCTAAACGAACGCTTGTTTTATGAAAAGAAATGAATAAAAAGAATTATTGATATCTGTTCCAACACAGAGGCGGCTGAAGGGCGCTCCCAGTGAAAATCCTAAAGGTCTACGAGAGATAAGTTTTGTTCCAACAAACTATCGAACTAGTTCTGAACTGAACACTGTATGTTCTAATAAGTTCCGAGAGTTCTGAGAGAAAAGTAGATATACCCTATTCGTAGTTCATTTACGCCCCGACACAACAAGATGCAGCGCGGCAAGGCGGCAGCCGCCTAAGCGTTGCAATAGCTATTGGTCATAAAACTACGATTAAGTGCAGGATTCGACAGGATCGAACTCAGGCTCGGGGTATCGCCGGCATGCCTTCGCCGGGAGCTTCTGTTCATATACGTTAGCATGTCGTCTACGAATACAGCAGATGAAAGTGAGAATATTTCTCCCAAGCCATGCTTCCTCTTCAGTGATGTCTCCTCCCCGAAAACATGACAAGAAGGGACATTTGAATATTCAGGCAAAATAAATATAAATTCATGATATTGAAAGACGTGTGGCGATCAAAACAGACTTATGTCCTAAGACAATTTTCAACATTGTTAAAGAATATAAAAAAAACAGAAAATTGTCTCCACCACACAAAAGGCTGCATTACACGAAGCTGTTGGATACAGTTGATAACTTTGATCGGAATGCCTGCCATCAGACACAAAGTCCATCAATTTTTTGAAAGGCAGGAACTTCCCAACATAGACGGGAGGTCAACAGTGGTGAAAACTTACCTACTTTCAAAAGGACCACATTCTATAGTGTACTCAAAAAACTTCATTTTGAGTATAGAAAACGGGGCAGAAATAGTATTTGGATGGACAATCAAGAGATTATTTTATGGAGAAGAAATTATTTAAATCCAATAAAGAAGTACCGCGACCAGGGCAGGAACATTTATTACTTGGATGAAACCTGGATAAATGCAAGGCATACAAAACCTAAAGTATGGGCTGACTCTACAATTAAATCAACAAGACAAACCTTCGTAGATCGATTAACCACTGGCCTAAAGAATCCACCAGGTACGTGTATCTAACCAATTCGGCATTTGTGTTGTATAAATGCTCTCAAGTAGACTGAATCCATGAGCCCGCGCTAAACACTTAGCTATGTCTGGTAGATTTGGAACCACCACCTGTTACATACTCTGCTTGTATTATTATTAGTTTTCTTGCATGCTCTATGAAATAATTATTTCCAGGAAAAGGAAAACGATTTGTTATCTGTCAAATTGGCAGTGAAGATGGCTTTGTGCCCACTGCCCGAGATAGATTTACGGTACATCAAAAAACAACAAATTATATCAAATTCCACGTCTAGCGTATGGAACCTTGATAATTTTAATTTTTACTTCATTTAATGCATTTAATTTACTTATTTTAGATACACTCTAGTCGTAAAAAATACATATTTGAAATCACTTAGACCATCTGAACACATAAACAATGTGCGAATAAATGCGCGAAGTTAACAAAGCAACAGTTGAAAGATTACCATTGGGTAACATCACCTTGATTTTTTTATTACGGCTGAAATTCTTTGGGACATAGTGTTAATCAAGTTTTGGCAAAAATTTGGTGTAAAACAATTCCTTATTTCTTGAAGCTTTTGTCTCAGTTCGGTGATTGTACGAGCAGGATGTTGTCGTAGAACCTTTTTCATCTCGTGCCACAAAGTTTCAATAGGTGACAGATCTGGATTGCTAGAAACCCATTTCAAAAATGGTACATTATTTTCTTCCATCCATTTTATAGCCTTTTTTGAGGTATGGCACGCAGCACCATCTTGCTAAAAAAAAAACACAAAAACACAAAACCTTGGCCAACACTGGTAAAAGAGATTCTTCCAAAATTGCCAAATATTTGTTTGTATCCACATTTCCAACAATAAAATGAAGTTTTCTTACTCTTTTTGATGACATACTGCCCCAAACCATAATGGATGTTGGAAATTTCACTTTTCCCCTCAGACAGTCAACATGGAATGCTTAATTTTTTTGCGAATAACTCTACTGCGGCTGTCATCAACACAAACTTAGAATCGGGCCTCATCACTCCATTGTATTGAACACCATTGTTGAGGTGTCGATTGTCTATGTTCTTTAGCCCATGTGAGCCGATTTTTCTTTTGCAGAGGAGTTAATAGTGGCTTTTCTTTGGCCTATAAACAAGTTGTGCAACTTTAGGGTTTTTACTTCATTTTTTTTATAAGAAAACTTACCTTGCAAGTGCTAAATCCCAGTTTGTGGGCCTCTCTATGAGTTGTGGACCTCGAAATTCTCCTTCCAACAGCGTCACTCCACAGAACACTTAATTGTAAATAATTGGCACGCCTGTTTTTCACGATTATTCTTCTTAATGCTCTTCGGTCGGCATTTGTGATATTACTTTTTTTCACATATCGTGGCTTAATATTAACTGAACCAGTTACGTTATATGTTCTAACAATATTTCTCACACTGTACCGCGATAAGTCTAACAAAGTTGCAATTTCTGAGTTTGATTTTCCAGAATTAAAAAATTTAATTATCAGTAAACGAATTTTCTCACTAATAACCTTTCCTCTACCCAGTTTGAAAACCTTAACTACCCAAAACTATTTTAAACGTGTTCTGACAGCTGTGATTAATAAAAACAATTGTCATGGCTTTTCTTTAGCCCATCTAAGCCGATTTTTCTTTTGCAGAGGAGTTAATAGTGGCTTTTCTTTGGCCTATAAACAAGTTGTGCAACTTTAGGGTTTTTACTTCATTTTTTTTATAAGAAAACTTACCTTGCAAGTGCTAAATCCCAGTTTGTGGGCCTCTCTATGAGTTGTGGACCTCGAAATTCTCCTTCCAACAGCGTCACTCCACAGAACATTTAATTGTAAATAATTGGCACGCCTGTTTTTCACGATTATTCTTCTTAATGCTCTTCGTCGGCATTTGTGATATTACTTTTTTTCACATATCGTGGCTTAATATTAACCGAACCAGTTACGTTATATGTTCTAACAATATTTCTCACACTGTACCGCGATAAGTCTAACAAAGTTGCAATTTCTGAGTTTGATTTCCCACAATTAAAAAATTTAATTATCAGTAACCGAATTTTCTCACTAATAACGTTTCCTCTACCCAGTTTGAAAACCTTAACTACCCAAAACCATTTTAAACGTGTTCTGACAGCTGTGATTAATAAAAACAATTGTCATGGCTTTTCTTTAGCCCATCTAAGCCGATTTTTCTTTTGCAGAGGAGTTAATAGTGGCTTTTCTTTGGCCTATATACAAGTTGTGCAACTTTAGGGTTTTTACTTCATTTTTTTATAAGAAAACTTACCTTGCAAGTGCTAAATCCCAGTTTGTGGGCCTCTCTATGAGTTGTGGACCTCGAAATTCTCCTTCCAACAGCGTCACTCCACAGAACATTTAATTGTAAATAATTGGCACGCCTGTTTTTCACGATTATTCTTCTTAATGCTCTTCGTCGGCATTTGTGATATTACTTTTTTTCACATATCGTGGCTTAATATTAACCGAACCAGTTACGTTATATGTTCTAACAATATTTCTCACACTGTACCGCGATAAGTCTAACAAAGTTGCAATTTCTGAGTTTGATTTCCCACAATTAAAAAATTTAATTATCAGTAACCGAATTTTCTCACTAATAACGTTTCCTCTACCCGGTTTGAAAACCTTAACTACCCAAAACTATTTCAAACGTATTCTGACAGCTGTGATTAATAAAAACAATTGTCATGGCTTTTATTTTTCACAGCCACCTAT